TTTTTTCTCACAAGCCATAAGCCAGGAGCCAAGTAGAGAGTACAGATGTCTTTTGCCTGCTCTGTCTTATGTTGTCTTTTCAATTTTTCTGTAGGTTTTACTTTTCCTATCAGATACTTCCTGGTTCCCAGAGATCTATTCCTCTTCCTCCATTTCCTTCTTCCCCAAGTTGTTATTGTCCAGTGTTTCAATACCAAATCTCAAAGAGGCTGACTTGTTGCTTACCACTCTACCATTTTCTTAAGTTTTACATTTTTCCAAGATTATCCTTAGTTTTTGGTGCCCTACCATTTCTATCTCATCTTCCAGTACTTCTAACAAAGCCAAGCAAAAAGACCAGTCTCCAGAATATTCTGGCACAGTAACCAGACATAGCAACAAACACTGAAACATCTAAAAATACATTTATTGGACCTCCATTCCATTCTCTTCCCAGGAAATTCACTTGCACAGCTATCTTTTGTATGCTCATTCACCATGAAATAGGTGAATGAAAAAAACTACTGGGGGCTGGGATATATAGCTCAGTGGCACAAGCACCTGACTGGCAAGTGCAAGGTCCTGAGTTCAATTCCCAGTACTAGAAAGAAAGAAAGAAAGAAAGAAAGAAAGAAAGAAAGAAAGAAAGCTACTGGAACAAATGCAAAATACACTAAATCAAATAGCAGCATATCCTTGAAAAAGAGAGATTAAGTACAGATTTATTATTATTAATATTACTATTTATTTCTGTGAAATGCAGATGTGTTTTAGGATTAACTGAGAATATGCTGGGTAACTGATTAATTCCCATTTAACATTTTGCTGTTAGTTGCATCTCAGTTTGAGTTTCATATGAGGTAGAGATGGACACAGTACACATCATATAACCCTCACTCATAAATGCAAGAGAATGAAAATACTTCATTCAAGTATAGTAGATTGCTGAAGATGTGTTTTTCTCATTGCTGAGACAAAATATGCAACATTCACAAGTTGAAGGAGGAGCAGTTTATTTTAGCTCACAGTTTACAGAGGCTTCAGCCTGTAGTCTGCTCATCTGAAGGCAGAGCAGCACGGCAAAGGAGAAACAGCCCATGAAAAGGCAGGCAGGAAGCAGCTATAGCGGCAGCAAGCCTTCCCTTCTGTTACGGTTTGTGTGTATTTGTCCCCCCAAAGCCTCCTGCAGTCATTGAGGCACAGTTCTACAGTTTGTGCTAATTCATGATCCAAGGCTAGGACTCTGGATCTGAGTACTGCTAGGATTGTGGGTGTGAGCATTGTGCCCAACATGGGGCGGATAGCCTGAATGTAACATAAGAGAGACAGAGAGACAGATCTGCTCTCTGTTGCCTCTGTTGCCATTGTTGCTGCTTCTCCTCCCTTTTGCTCTTGCTGTTTTGCTGCCTTCCACCGACATGAACTGCTGCCCTCTGCCATGTGCCAGTTTGCCTTGGAGCCAACTGAGTATGGACTGAAACCTCTAGTAACTGTGAGCTAAATAAAAGTTTCCTTTCTTCATTGTGAGTGCTGGATATTTGTCCCAGCAACGAGAAAAAAGTAACAGACAACAGTGGACATGGAAAGTTATTTTCTCCTAAGATATTTCTACCATCACAAGTGTTTTTAATTATTTTTATTAATTGGTTTTAAAATTTTGTTAGTACACATTTACAATACATTATGATTACCTTCATCTTGGGGATTCAGTACATATATCTAAGTTTAATTCTTTTTATTTTTCCACCTTCCTCCATTTCTTGGTCTCCTTCTCTTTTACAAAAGATAATAGGAATCAATTCCTATTATCTACTTTTTGTTTTACTTAATTTATTTTTACTTTATATGTAAGACAAACCATGTGATATTTAAACTTTTATATCTGAATTATTTTACTCAATATTATCTCAAGATACATCTATTTTCCCAAAAATAACTCAAATGTACCCTTATTTGTGCCAGAATAGTACTCCATTGTGTATAAATACATTATCTTTAACCCTTCACCTGCTGATGGCCATATAGGCCACTTCCAAGATTTTTCTGATTTGTGCTGCTATAAACATTTGTATACATGAATCACTGTAATATATTTTTTAAACAATTTTTACATCATTTATTTATTTATTTATTTATTTGGTACAGGGTCTCGCTAAACATCTCAGACTCTTAGTAATCCACCTGTCATAGCCTCCCTATTGCTAGGATTACAGGTGTCCACCACCATGCCCGGTGTCAGTGGCTGGCATGGCATGTAGTACCAGGAATGGAATCTGGGTCCTTGCGCTTGCCAGGCAGGCACTTAGACCACTGAGCTGTCTCCCCAGTCCTGTAATACAGTATTTTTAACTCTTTCAGAAAGATACCTAGAAGGGGAATAGTTGAATCAGATGGAATTTCTAGTTTTAGCTTTCCAAAGAATTCCCTATTGATTTCCATAGTCATTGTACTAGTTTATGTTCCAATCATGTTTGTTATTATTTGATTTACTGACCACAGGCACTCTTTCCAGAGTAAAATGAAATTTTAATGTTATTTTAATTTGCATTTCCCCAATGGTCAGTGTCTTATTTTTTCATTGTTGGGTCAGGATATGATACCCATAAGTTAAAAGAAGAAATGCTTTATTTTAGCACACAGTTTATAGAGGTTTCAGTTCATAGTCAGTTGATTTCAAGGCAGGAAGAAGCAGCATTCCTTCTGCTTTTTTTTTATCCTTTTCAAACTATAAACCTATTAGTTGGGGCCATTCACACCCAAGGTGGGTCTTCTGTCTTCAGTAAATCCATTCAATCACACCCCTAACTATGAAAAACCAATCAGGGGATTACAGGGTGTCATGCACCCATAATCCAGCATCACATCCATGATCCAGCTACTCACAAAAGCCCACCTCTGAGTGCATGTGGCTTGGAGAAGATAGCTAGATAAAAGTCCTAACAGTCACAGATATTGAACAGTTTTTCATGTGTTTTGGAAAAAGTACCATGTTTGGTTTTGGTTTTTTGTTTTTTTGCATTTTTTAGTGAGGGTCTACAGGTTCTACAGGGTCTCACTACATAGTTCAGACTCGGACTGATCTGCCTGTGTTCAACCTTCCAAATAGCTAAGATTACAGGTGTGCACCACCACGCCCAGTCTCAATCGCTTTCTCAGCGCACATCAGGGGCAGGGCTGGCACAGCAGGCTGGCGTTGTCTGCCTAAGCGGGCACTTTAATCTGCTGAACTATTTGACTGGCCCTTGGAAAAAAACCTATGTACTTTTGTGAAGAATTTATATTCTGTAGTTGTTGGTTGGACCTCTGTAGATATCATGTTTCCCCCAAACTAAAACCTAATCAGAAGTAAGAGATATAAAGGAACTTATTAGGTAGAATTCTAAAAGTACACATTCAAAGAAATAAAATAAGGGCTCTCAAGAGCCTTGTATCCTCTAGCTGGGTATATTCATAAGAGCTTAAGGTGGAAACCCGTGAGACTTGAGATTCTGTTAAAAGATGGGATTCAATTTACAGATGATAGGCACTCTTTTCTGCAGGGAAGGGTGGTGGCTGAGTGATAGGTGGAAAGCCATCACAGTTCACAGAGCTATAGCCCTTCCAGGAGGAAAAGGCCCATTTGTACGGAAGGGGGATAGGCCAAGGTCCATTTACAGGTAAAAGAAATTTTGTACTAGATTTGTGTCTTGAAGCTGCAATTTTTATTAAAAGTACAATTTTAAAACTGTGATTTTTCCTTGTTTCCTTTCTATGTCTTTCTATCCTACCTCAAAGGATATAATTATACATGTTCATAAACATACTAAAGCCCAATGAACTATACATTTTAAAAGACTAATTACACTGCACCTGAGTTATATCTTGGGGGAGGGAGGGAGAGAAGGAAAGAGACTATGTCTCCTCACCTTCAAACGTCTCCCACAAAGGCAGTGAATGTTACTTGTTTCTTGGGCACCATTCCTGAAATAGACTGCATATATATTTTTGGACCTATAAATTCTTGTTAAAAATAGAAATATTAGCATAACAGACATATTGTTCTATATTCCCCCCCAAAAAAAAAACCCAATATTTTTCCCCTTTACAATATAACTTCAAGATCATTCCTCTTAGCCAGATGTGGGGGCACAGGCCTGTAATTCCAGCACTCAAGAGGCTGAGTCAGGAGGACCATTGTAAGGTTGAGGCCAGCCTGGGCTGTAAAGTGAGCTCAAGGCCTGCCTGAATTACACGGTGAGACCCTGTCTCAAAGAAGACAGAAAAAAAAAAAAAGATCATTTCTCTTCATAACTTGTAGATCATTCCATTTCAGCATATATAAGTATTCTTCATTCCTTTTTATTTTCAAATTTCTACAGTTTAGTAAGCTAGTCTTATGCTGTTACAAATAATTTAGTTTTCTTGTATTTATGTCATGAAGCAGAATAAATTTTTTAAAATAAAAATTATAATTTGATTTGCTTTTCTTATTTTGATACACTGCTCTTAGGGTTTTTTAATTTTTTCCTAACTCTAATACACATTCAAAAATTATGGGATCAATTGTGATGCTTCATTTTAAGAAAGAAGCCTTCATTTCATCCTAAAATATAAGTATGTTTTATTAAATACATGTCTATTTATTTTGTATTTTAGTTCTTGGGTTTTTTTCCATCTTTATCTGCTTTTTAGTACATGTTTGCAGTATATAATGATTACATTCCTCATGAAGAGTTGGTACCTGTACATAACACATCTTAATTCTTTTCTTGATCTCCCTTTCCCCCCTTTCTTATCTCCCTTTGTCTCTTGAGGATGAGGTTGATATGCAAGTTTAGGAAACCTAATAGCGACATCTGGTGGAAAAATGTCAAAATAAAATTAGACTCATTAAATCATTAAACATCTATATAAATGTTTCTATCAAAAAGATTTGTTATCTTACCATAAGAGTGCTTATACTAAGTAAATATAATAAAGTTTGTAGGAAGTTCTTTGATGTTCTACCAATTTACAAGTGGAAATATATTTTCTCTTTTCAGGATAAAGTCATTTTGGGAACTGATTACCCCTTTCCACTAGGTGAGTTGGAACCTGGGAAATTAATAGAGTCCATGGAAGAATTTGATGAAGAAACAAAGGTATATTGTATGTCTTACTTCATGGCCTTCTTCCTGAGTTTTCTTTCTCTAATTGTATTTAAATTTCAGAACACTTTAACGTATGTTAACAAAGAACAAATAAACCATTACACTTAATATTCCTAGAGCTAATTTTCTGTCTTCAGAAATAGGTAAGCCTGCAGTGATGGGGAATCCTTTAGAGCTTTCAATGATGCAAACAGCTCAAGCTATGTGTGTGCTATAGGCTCACCAACACTAAGAAAGTATTAAAAGACAGAGAACAGCCAGCTGTGGTGGCTCACACCTGTAATACCAGCACCTGGGAGGGAGGTTAAGGCAGGGGGATCACAAGGAGTTGAAGACCAGAGCTACAGAGTGAGTTCAAAGCCAACCTGGCTTTGAGACAGTGAAACACTGTCTCATAAATTAAATTAAATTAAATTAAATTAAATTAAATTAAATTGAAATTAAAAATTTAAATTAAATTAAATTTTAAAAATAGACAAAGGAGCCAGGTGTGGTGGTGCATACCTGTAATCCCAGTACTCTGGGAAGCTGAGGCAGAAAGGAAAATTTAAGCCCACCCTGTTATAGCTCAGTGGCACAGCACCTGCCTGGAAAGTTTAAAGTCATGAGTTCAATTCCTGGTACAAAAAAAAAAAAAATCAAAATAGAAAAAACTAAAGCTCAGTGTGAAGGCTGTGGGCTCAGCTTCCAGACACACACACACGCACACACACACACACACACACACAAATGAAATTTAAGGAAAGGAATATAAAACAGCTCAAAACCACCATTGCACAACTAAATTCAAAAGCCAACAAAGAAAACTGTAAAGATGTATATCAATGATATAAGCGAGTATGTGAAAGAGATCATAAGAAAATAATGTCTCAATTTCTTCCTTTAATGTTTCTGTTACCTATGGATCTCAAAAAGTACTGATGTCTCTAGTTATTTGGGTATTAAGACTAAGATCCCAGATGGCCATGGTGGCACATGGCTGTAATCCCAGCATTCAGGGGGCTAATGCAGAAGAAACTGCCACAAGTTCAATGTAGGCAATGTACTAAATTAAAGGCTATCCTGAACTACATGGAAAGACCCTATCTCAAAACAAAGACAAAGTTCTCAACAACAAGGACCCAAGGAATCATTTCTTCAAATAACTTGATTTTTTACCTCAGTATCTGGCTTTTAAGATGAGTAACTGATACTAAAATGTACCATAATGCTATCACTATCTGTCCTAGGCTCCTGAATCATGATAGTTTTAAAATAAGATACAGTACCCTCAGATTTCTTCTCCTTTGTCATCTCCTCCACCCACCCACCCCCCTAAAAGCACAAGGTTTTCATAAGGATTCACCACCAGTCCCTACCAGGGATCAGAGATGACCAAAAATAAAAATAAGCGGATAAATTTTTTAAAAATATTGATAAATCTTAGTCACAATCTTTTTTGTACAGTTATTGGTTTTATTCTATAATAGAATCTGAAAAGCTTACTGAGCTCTCTCTACCTTATCTGTAAAAGACATAGCTCCTCCACTCTTCTGAATAATCTTGAAGCACATTAACAGATGCCAAGTATTCGTTCTGATGTATACTAGTTGCAAGTATTCAATTGGAAAATCTGTTTCACATAAAAGTAGCCCCTTTCTGGGGGCCTGCCCATTAGCTCAGTTGTTTAAGTGCCTGCTTAAACACAGCAGTCAGGCTCAGGTTTGATCCTCAGATCCTCAAGGCAAACCAGACCTACCCTGAAGGCATCCTGAACCCAAAAAAAAAAAAAAAAAAAAAAAAAAGTATCCCTTTGTACGTGGTTACAAAACAATTGAGGTATCACAAAGCTGCTTGTCAAGTATCTATCTACCTACCTACCTACCTACCTACCTACCTACCTACCTGTAGTGGAGACTGAACCCAAGGACACACTATTCCTGAAATACATATGTAGACCTTTGTATTTTTATTATGAGATAGGGTCATACTACATTGCCCAGGTTGCCCTCAACCTTTCAATCCTCTCAGGCTCTAGAGTAGCTAGGATTATAGGTGTTCTGCCACTGACCCAGAAAATCTCCTTCTCCTTCTCCTTCTTTCTCCTTCTCCTTCTTTCTCCTTCTCCTTCTCCTTCTCCTTCTCCTCCTCCTCCTC